GCAAACAAGCCACTTTAAAATCCTTAAAACAAGGGAAAGCAGTTTATACACTGAACATTGTCTTAGATATGAAGAAACTTATGTTGAAATTAAAAAAGTTCTTTACCTTTTGAACAAACTGCCTGCAATGAGTAATTTCTTTGCAAATCTAATAAGGATACAAGGAAACAGGCATTCAGAAAAGAAATGACTGCTTTATAGATGGGAAACAAACTTCAGAAAATCTAACTGTCTTACAAAAGAGTTGCTTCACCTGAAAGTTCCTTATAAGAAATCAATGCTAAATATTACAGCTGCTAATAACATCAGGTGTTAATGAAGTGAAAATACTAAGTCCTGAAAATGTCTTTTCTCAAAATAAGCTAATGAAGGATACGTTTCATGAAAGAACTTCTATGTTCTTGACTCCTTTGAATAGTAACAGTTTTGGTGAAAATATTGGAACTAACAACAATCAAGTCAAAATGTTTCAACAAATTCAAGACGCTATTCCACAAAAGAAAGCTGCCATGCTTTGTGGGCCATATTAGAGCTCACTTCAATCTTCCTGGTCCTTTAGCTGAGGGCAATGCGAAATGGAAAGATCCCTGCTCAGGATTATAGAAGGGTCCCGATCCTGTGTAAATATGGGGTCGAAGACATGTTTGTGTTTTTTCACAAGAGGAGAATGTAGCTAGAGTTTTCCTGCCTTGCCCACAGTCAGGACAAATCTCTGTCACCCGCCAGTCCCACAGCCGCTCAGACCCAACCAAGTAAACACAGAGACTTATATTGCTTATAAACTGTATGGCCGTGGCAGGCTTCTTGCTAACTGTTCTTACAGCTTAAATTAATCCATCTTTTATAAATCTATACCTTGCCACATGGCTGGTGGCTTACCGGTGTCTTTACATGCTGCTTGTCCGGGCGGTGGCTGCAGTGTCTCTCTACCTCAGCCTTCCGCTTTCCAGAATTCTCTCTCCTTGTCCCACCTACTTCCTGCCTGGCTACTGGCCAATCAGTGTTTGATTTATTGACCAATCAGAGCAATTTGACATACAGACCATCCCACAGCAGGAGAATGAAGCTCTGTGGTTACCGGAGCGTCTGGTGAGCGTGGAACTAAGGAAGGTCAGCTCCAATGACGTCCCTATAAAGGAACCAGAATGAAAGTGGCTCGATTAGTGTTTCTGAGGTTTTGTCACTGGTTAATGCAAACAGTGAGCAAACAGAGTTCAGAGCTGTGCCGATTTTGGTTTTACTAGTTCCTTTAGAAAAATACTTTATATCACCTAATAGCTGTGCAGTATTTGGCGAAGAGCTTTACAGAAGCTAAATACGGTAATTTCACCCTCAGCGTGAAGTGAAGTTTTTCAGTAGAGCAAACCAAAACGACTGCTGTAATAGAAACATTTGTCTGAATTGAAGCACTTAGGGGAGCTACTATGAATTTGGGTGAAGGGACAGCCTCTAGTTAAAAACTGTCTACCGCTGACAGTGCATCTCTGCCGGTCCGGAACGGCTGAGAGAACTGGCAACTTTGGAGTGTGGCGTCATCCTGGGAAGGTTATAGTCCCCTAGCAACAACTATCACAATTCTATAACAACACTCACTAAATCCCAGTATTGTATAGCAAAGCTGACTATAAATTCTAAACTTTAGAAATGATATGTGTACTTCCTGTCTAGTTAAGAGAATCTTTCTAATAGAGATAGTGATAATAATTAAGAGTAAGAAATAGAAAAAGATGAAAATAAGATATGTGAGTTTGTAAAAATTCTCTTGTTAGATTTCTGTGTTAAGAAATCTTTAGGTGTTTGCTAAGTTAAATATATGCTAGTGGTAGCCCTATATAAGCTTGTAAGATAGATCTATAGAGTTCCTTTAAGAATATAAGCTTGCAAGAAGTATCTAAGTAAAGATGCTAGTTGTAAATGTAACTTTAAATAAGAATAAGATGGAATGAATATAAGTATATATGTAACTTTAAATAAGAATAAGGTGGAATGAATATAAGTATATAGGTAGTAAGAAATATAATTGCTAAAGTAGTTCTATAGTTTTCTTAAGGAGTATAAATAAGTAGATGTTAATACATTGTATGTGAGTTTGTAAAAACGTGTAAATGTTGAATGTGAGTCTAAATGCTTTGAAAGGCAAAATATGTTATATGTGAGTTTGTTAAGTGTGAATCTATGCTTAATGTATATGGTGAAAAAACCTGAGACACAGAAGTTAGTGTCCTAGCAGACGGCAAAGCAGGCAGTCTGAGCGGTTTTCAAAAGTTCCAGAAGCTGCTAAGAAGCTAAGAATGGCAGACACCAGAACCAGCACAAGGCATCCACAGCTGAGATCCGTGGAAAATCGATACAACACAGAAAAACCTGAGCTAACATAAAAAACGGTGTGGTTTAGAACACTACTGTACCTAAAAAGGTCTCTGGCTTAAGAATAAAAGTTCAGAGACGCTTGTTTGAACAAAAATTTTTAACTGCAAAAAGTTTTGGTTGAAAAACGTCTCTTCATATTTGGAAGTGAAAGCCTGATACCAGAATTTATTTCTTGTTTGAACTTTTTGAACTTAAAATGAGACAAAATTACAAAAAGATTTTGGTTATGGATTTCTTATATTTGGAAGGCTAGTACCAGAATTTATCATTTGAATTTTAAGACTTAAGAAATGAAATAAACAATAGAGATTTCATTGCAGTGGGACAATTTTGAGTTGACTTATAGTAATGACCTAGAAACTGTTTTCTGGAATTGGGTTAAAAATGGAACTGTTTAAATGAAGAAATTTATTGTTTCTACCTTGACTCAAGATGCAGTTTTGTGTATGCATATATGCTGGTGATTCATGTATTCTGTGTTAAAAATGCAATTGTTTTGTGGAACTGTTTATGTAAAAATGGAATTACTTATGGAACTGGTTTTGTGTTACAAATGGAACTGTTTAAACGGAAAAGTTTGGGTTTTCTAACTAGGCTTGAGATTTTGTTTTAAAAATTATAAAGAAAAGGAGGAGTTATGAGTGAATTAAGGTTGAATTATGTTTGTAAAAATTATGTTTAACCTATTGATATTAATACACCCTGGTTTTGTGGAGTTAAGGAAATATTTAAGTTTGATGTGAATACATCGAAGTTTTTCCTATGTTCTGTTAGCAAGAAAATTCAAATGATTAAGAGTTAAAGTTGTAAGACGGAGAAAATTGTTAACTATATATAGCACCATATATGCTAATTCAAAT